CTCTCTCTCTCTCTCTCTCTCTCCCTCTCACTCAAACTCCTCTCTCTCTCTCCCCTCACTCAAACTCCTCTCTCTCTCTCCCTCTCACTCAAACTCCTCCCTCCCGTTGTCATTTTCTTTTTTCCCCTTTCCTGTTGTTTTTTGTTTGTTTTCTTATTATCTCTCTAGATCTAGATTTTTCTGTTTCTTTTCTTTGTTTGTCTCCAGTTCCTTCTCTAATAAATCTTTCTCTTGTTCTCTCACACTTTGTCATTAGGCGTTATCATCTACAATACCAAACCCTATAATATTGCATCTCATCTTTCACTTTCACTAATGCCTTCAAAGATTACAACAGCTTAATGTGAACTCATCTCGTACCTTCGTTGTGCTGGTTAAGTCCTTTTCAACAGCGTGAGGCTATCCGACCTCCGAACATTAACGTTTATCTCCTATAGGACCCAGCCAAATTGGTGGAAATCTGCGGTAAGGTAGCGATCCATATGTGCGGGACGGCAGCGGCAGCGGCACGGCAGCGGGACGATATGTGAGGTACCGTAAGTCACATTAAATCCATATGTGCGGCAGCGGAACGGCAGCGGGACAAAATGTGCGATATCGCAAGTGGCAAATTCAATAGGGGAAGGCATAACTTCGCCAGTATTGTAAAGTTGCAATTATCTTGATCTTTTGTAACTAGCAAAACGAACAGGTCCATCCATTCCTTTGCCATTCAGGACAGCCCAGACGGCACCATTTGGGCATATCAAGAAAATGGGTGGATGAACGACGACATAGGGTGCAATGGTTTCAGCAAGTTTTCCGTGTCAAATGAAATGACTGCATCACACAGAGATTCTTCACAGTCATGAGTCAACCCTATTCCGCCACATTCATATTTTTGTCTGCGGCAGAGCTGCGGCAGCGGCAAAATCGCTCCTGGGTGCGATTTTTATCGTCCCGCTGCCGCACCGCTGCCGTCCGGCACTTATGGATTCAAACATTGATATTTGTGTTGGAGCGATTTTTATCGTCCTGCTGCCGTGCCGCTGCCGCTGCCGCTGCCGTCCCGCACATATGGATTGTCACCTGTAGTCTCCCAACAGTTCACGTTCTTGAACTTCGCATTGGAAGTTCAAATCAGTGTCATCGACAACATACCCGATCCTAATACAAACTGAACGAACATTGCACTTGTCGCCATTGTGCTGTACGATAGGAGAACAGTTCATTGTTTGCATTGTGCTCAGTAAGGCACAGGTTTAAGGCACAGTAAGGCACAGTTTTGTCATAATATCTCTCTTCTTTGTACGAATTCCATGGTTGCTGTGCCCGAATTACGTGTTAATAAAACAGTCGAACAAAATTGTATTATTATACTAACCTTGCCCCCCCGCCCACCTCCCTTTTTACTTTTCCTGCAAGTGCGTTTCACTGAAATTGCTTGAGAATTTCGAGAGCCAGTTTTCCCTTTCCTATCAGCTCTCCATATATTTTTAATTTCACGTATCTCCTTGGCTTCGATTATCAACACTCGTTAAAAAGAATGGCTATTAGACCTATGAAGACAAAGTTTTTCTATGAATACGTGCGTTAAGTTACGTTTATCTCTCCTTAGATCAAATAGCTCTGAGCAAGAAGAAATCTGTGGCTTGGTTGGTCAGCAACTGTGGCACTCCCAGCAGAAGGGAAAACTACGTAAAGGAGATGCAGGTGCGAATTGTTTTTTCGTTACCCGTATCTTTTTGTGTTTTTGACTTTATTATGTTTTTTTGTGATACATGTGGGTGGGTATA